ATTGCCTATGTACCAACATATAATATACACTCTCGTTTAGATTAATTCATAGATACTAAACATGGTAAGATTACATATAGGTAAGATTACATGAACGAGTGGTTCTATCATAAGCATGCATAAAACAGTATACAATACAAAAGACAATATACAAGAACAGTAATAACATACACAATGACCTGGGGATATGCATGCTAGGAAGGTCATAGAAAAATTTGTCTATGAATTAATGAAATAAGTCATTTCCTACAGCAGTATGTGTCTGTTTTAGAGAGAATTGAGAAGGAGGAAGATTCTCTCTACATACTTTTAGGTCGTACAAGTTAATCTGATCTGGCTGAGGGGTCCTGGTTGCCATGGTAACCAGGGGCCTGGGGTCGTTCCCAGACATGCTGGCACCCAGTATGTTTATTGGGTGAGTGGTCTGTGATTATTTGTTAATCTAATGAATAATTGATTTGTTAAATCTAATGAACAAATGTGTGTCTGATTGGTTCAAATGCTACAGTTAAATATACTGCTGGATATTTAATGTTGTGGGCCTATTATTCTGCTGAAGGTCCTGGACATCTTGTTCAGATACATGGCATCATGGGTTCTATCAAATATCAACAGATAAAAAATGTAAACCTGACTGCTTCTGTTAGAAATCTTATAATGGGCTGTGGTTGGATCTTCCATCAGGACAATGAGCCAAACCAAACATCAAAATCAACAGAAAAATGGGTCACTGAGCACAAAATGAAGATTCTGTCATGACCATCCCAGCCCTCTGCTCTGAACACTATAGAAAATGATTGAACTGAAGAAGAGAGTTTATCAACATAGAGCTGGGAAACTGAAGGATATGGAGAGATTCTGTATGAAGGAATGGTCTCTCATCTCTTGTCAGGTGTTCTCCAAACTCATCAGGCATTATAGGTGAAGACTCAGAGCTGTTATCTCGGTAGAAGGAGGTTGCAAAAAGTATTAACGAGTGCCAATATTTGTGACCAATGTGCATTGGAGAATTAATGTCTTCTTTTATTCTAGCAACACATTAGCAACCACAAAGCAACTGCCTAGAAACCTCCTAGGATAACCAAGCAAATGCCTTTTTTAATGCTCTTATGAGGTCGAACTTGGTCTGAAGAGGATTATTAGGGACTTTAAATCATTGGTATGGTTTTTTGTAGGGATCCCCCTTAAAAGTCAACTAACCGTTAGTCGACAACAAGAGGCTTGGTCAACCAAAATTTTATTAGTCACTTAGATAGAGAAAAAAAATTCCACACGAAGTGCATGGTGAAGTCACACAGTCTGTGACGGGCAGATCGTTAACGGCTGTTCAGTGTGGTTATGCATCGGGCAGGACATCCAAACAATCACCTATCATTCATCGACCTCAAATATGGCGTTTCATCTGAAAGATGTATGTAGTAGCAACTTTACATGGCCGCTCAATCTAATGTTAACGTAGAAAAATTTACTATTCAAGTGTCTGTGCAGCGTGTGGAAGCTGAACAGTAGCGCGCTCACTGCATGACAGATGGAGGCGCCAGTGACAACACTTGCTCTTAAAATACTCTGTAATTTTTGGTCATACAGATAAAAGTACTATATCTTTTGAATCTATAAAGACTCTACGTTTATTTGTGTGCACAATAACAACGAATCGTTGTGCTTTTGTAAAATAATGAAAGCAAACAGGATGGGCTTTCTGCCGTCTCTGTCTGAACTTGAGCGTGTCACTCTGAAACTCTGTGTATAATTGCCTTTACAGGCGTGGAAAATGCGACTAATAGTAGACTAATGCTTAAAATGAACAACTACTAGTCGACCAGAAAAATCTTTAGTCGAGGGCAGCCCTAGTTTTTTGGGTGTCTGTTTAGGTCATATGGGGTCTGTAGTGTATTAATATGGTCTGTCTTTGTTTGAGTTTTTCTGTCATCATCTATATAGAATCTGTGATGAGAGTCAAACATAATGAAATACCTTTTTTTTTATTACAGAGGAGGTTGCCAACAATCGTCCTCGCAGAAGACAGAGCAAAGACCCACCTCCTGAGTGTAAGTATTTAAGTAGATGAACAAATATATGAAGTGAAGAGTGTGTGGAAATTGCAGAAAGTTTATTCCATTCAAAACACAAGTGATAAATTCAACCTCAGATGCATCTCTGATTGGTGGATTTTATTTATTTTTGCATTAAAATATGTCAAGACAGTAATCATGACTTATTATTTCACGTTTCAGTGAGTAATCTGAGGATTGTTCTACTGGGGAAGAGTGTTTCTGAAAACAGTCAAGTGGGAAACATCATATTAGGACGAGCAGCGTTTGACAGTGAAGCTCCTCCAGATGTTGTAGAGACAGAAAGATAAAATGTTGTAAAGACTGAAGAACAGACATGTGATGATCATCAACAGTCCTCAGCTGCTCCAGACAAACATCGCAGATCATCAGATCACACAGACAGTGAGAGAATGTGTGAATCTGTCTGATCCAGGACCTCATGTGATCGTTCTGCTCCTCAGACATGAGCAGTGTTCAACAGAAGATAAAGAGTGTGTGGAGAAGATGCTGCACTCTTTCTCTGAGCGGGTGTTTCAACACACCATGGTCCTCACACCACAAGAGCCCACCGAAACCAATGAAATCCTACAGAATATTATTCAGAAATGTGCAAACAGATACTTATGTCTTCAGAGAATCAGCTCTCCTGATGATTTTCTGCTGATATTTGAGAACATTTTACAAATGAATGATGGACAGCACCTGGTTTGTTCCGAAGGTTCACAGTATTTGTCAGTGGAGCAACAGGCCACAGGAACATGTGAGTGTGAAAATATTTCAGTTAGCTTTACAAATAAAATGATCAAACCATTGAACTATCTAAGGATTCTTAGTAGAAACCTCTGTGTGTTTTGCATCAAGAGAACAACCATACATTTGTGTTGTTTTACTTTCTTTTATATTAATTTATTCTTCATTCATTTAATTCATTCATTTATAGTCATTTATCATTTAATAATTTTATTGTTCCATTTAATCATATAATCATTTATGCTAATAATTTTAACCATTTGCAGAGGTGTAGATTCTCAGAAAGAGTATTTTGCATCTCTTCCATTAAGTGTGAGTATCATCAGGTCAGATTGCCTTTGTATTCTCTGTAATGGACTCATTAGGTGTGTTTGACTTAACGCAGCGCAGCTTGATCAAATTCTGACTTGAAGCAGTGCATGCCAGTTAGAAATTTTGTACGACTTGAAACGGCACCGGCACCACGTGACTGTTACGTGTGGAATCAAAGTACCACAATAGCAATTCGAGAGCAGCCGGCTAACTCATCCGCCGCAGTTTCTCCAGAGCGGCTGCAGGAGCTCTGGTGCACGTTTAAGCTCAAACCGGTGCGCAACATTTTGCTACAGTTTCCGGGTTGAACGACATGTTTCCTGGAAACAGTGTGCAACGGGGTTTGAGATACGTTTTCTCTTGTTTGGTGGGTGTGTCAAAAATGTCAGCCCAATCAGCAGCAACATGTACATAAACCACACGGTATTAAAGAGACAGCTCGCACAATGGGTCCAAGTAAAGTCGTTTAAATGTTTCCGCGGCAGCTCAATATACTCAACAGTTGAAGATATTAGAAGACATGTTTGTCGTAAGAGTTTTATAGTAAATATATAGCATATCAACATGATGATGTAGTTGTTTATATTTTTAGCTTCAATGCAAAGCAAGTTTATTTATATACCAAATGTCATACACAATGATCAGCAATAATGATAAGCCTAATACTCACAATAAAAATAATAAGGTCATATAGATCATAACACAGTCTCGGAGGTAAGAAGTGGATTATCCTTCACCTGAAATGTTTGTCTTTTCATCCTGAAATGCGAGGCAAATGTTGGATCACAATAATTAGGATCACAGTTCAGTAGTATAGTTTTTTTTTTTTACTTCCATAATATTTGATAGAGGGGGGCACAACAATACAATCCTGCTTAGGGCACCCATTTGACGAGCAGCGGCCCAGGACCCACCCGCAGTGGATTTTGATATTCTAGGTATTATCAAATGGCCAGAGTTTTGAGATTGTAGCGGACGTTAAGGACTATATTGTGACAATAGCTCACTCAAATACTGAGGTGCTAAACCATTCAGGCTTTATAGGTAATTAGCAAGATTTTAAAATGTATACGATGTTAAATAGGGAGCCAGTGCAGTGTTGACAGAACTGGGCTAATATGGTCGTACTCACTGGTTCTAGTAAGAACTCTAGCTGCTGCATTTTGAACTATAGAAATATAGAGCTGAGTACCATCAGCATAACAGTGAAAGCTAACACCACGTTTCCTGATGAAATACACACAGACACACACACACACACAAAAAAAGGCAAACAAAGCATAGATTGTAGGATTTCGTCATGTGAAAGTTGATGTGTGCGAAAGTCTTATCTGTAGTGCATCAATGTCCAAACACTGTCTGTAGCTGAATTTGGCTGATAGCAAATGAATAACCCAACCTCTTGTAATGAAAACATGCCACAGCTCTCAAATACCAGACTCTTCATAACCAGGAACAGTCAAAAATAGTCCAGACTATTGTCCCACGTCGAAAATAACTTTAAATCCATATTCAAACTGGACCATGATGTGGTGACCTCACCAATAAAGTATCATCAGCATAACAGTGAAAGCTAACACCACGTTTCCTGATGAAATACACACAGACACACACACACACACACACAAAAAAAGGCAAACAAAGCATAGATTGTAGGATTTCGTCATGTTAAAGTTGATGTGTGCGAAAGTCTTATCTGTAGTGCATCAATGTCCAAACACTGTCTGTAGCTGAATTTGGCTGATAGCAAATGAATAACCCAACCTCTTGTAATGAAAACATGCCACAGCTCTCAAATACCAGACTCTTCATAACCAGGAACAGTCAAAAATAGTCCAGACTATTGTCCCACGTCGAAAATAACTTTAAATCCATATTCAAACTGGACCATGATGTGGTGACCTCACCAATAAAGAGTCCTTCTAAAACGCATACAAATCAAGATAAAGTTTAAACAAAATAAAAGTCTTAAACTCTTAGCATCAATCCAAACATAGGACATACATACATACATACATACATGTAACAACTCTGCAAAAAACATCAACAATGTACACTTTTTAATAGCAAAAACAACAACAACTCCTTACTTTAGACTGGGCTTGAAATGACACATTTCCCAAGCAGGACAAAGCTCAATGTGTTCAACGGGTGAGCCATGCTGGCTATTTCTGATTGTTAATGCTAACTCCCTCTACCCGCATAGCTTTACTTAAGGAAACCAAAAACATCCTGTGGTAAGGAAGAAAACTGCCCACAAAATTCTTAGTAACAGGCAAATGTCTGTTACACCTCAAATATGGCGTGTGAGATCCACTTTCCTGCAGAGTTTAGCTCCAACTTTGATCAAACTCACCCACCTGTGATTTTCTAATGATCCTGAAGACATTGATTAGCATGCTCAGGTGTGTTTGATTAGGGTTAGAGCTAAATTCTGCAGAAAAGTGGATCTTGTGAGCCAGATTTGAGGATCCCTGGCCTACTGCATATTAAACATCAGGTTCTGAAAAGGTAGGGTGGCCATACAGGTGCATCTCAATAAATTAGAATGTCGTGGAAAAGTTCATTTATTTCAGTAATTCAACTCAAATTGTGAAACTCGTGTATTAAATAAATTCCATGCACACAGACTGAAGTAGTTTAAGTCTTTGGTTCTTTTAATTGTGATGATTTTGGCTCACATTTAACAAAAACCCACCAATTCACAATCTCAATAAATTAGAATATGGTGACATGCCAATCAGCTAATCAACTCAAAACACCTGCAAAGGTTTCCTGAGCCTTCAAAATGGTGGGTGTTTATGGCATCAAAAAATGTTAAAACCCTTGAGCTCAAAAGTATTTAACATTGAAGTGCACATCAGACAGTTCTCTGGAAGACTGTGCCATTTAGTGTTTAACAAGACATGCTGCCAGTGTCAGTAATGTGTAAAGACTATAAATGAAGAGCTCTTGGATGCTCATTAACAAAATAGGAGATAAACTAGGGTGGCCATATGTGCTGTTCATACGGGACACGTCCTGGCCAGGATTTTTATATTGCCTAAAACATCCAAAGTAGTTTGACCAATAACATGCAGGTATTGTATATAATCAACCAATCGTGGTGCGTGAGAAGGTGAGATCTACAGAGAACGATCAAAGCGATGCAAATAAGCGCACGTCTTTGTTCGTTCGTTCGTTCGTTCGACTTGAAACGTCGCTGCGCACCGATCATTGAATGACACCAAAGTACCTCGAGAGCGATTCGAAAACATAAGGAGCCGTCTGATCTGCTCTCTATAGCTCTCGTGAATGTCATACAACGATCAATCTGCACAGTGCAAACAGCCAAAACCTGGATATTTTAAGCAATATAGAAATTCTGGCCAATTCTGACTCGTCCCGTAAAAATGGCCCGTATGGGCACCCTAAGATAAACTGAATGTCTACTTCTCCTATGTATTAGCCCCATTTGATTCACTATGCCAGCATGTCTTTCACTGGCAAAAATAGTTATACGCTTTACACTTTACAACATTAAACTTGACGTATGAACAGGGTGCCATAAAAAGCTCTTGTGGTTTAGTGAGGTCCTGTCAGTTTGACTGATGACTCAAAAGTCACTAACCAGCTTAGCAGTCCTAAAAAAATCATAAACTCAAATGCTTTTGTGACAAAAAGGAGCTGCAAAACAGAATATGTTAGTGGTAACAACTTACAATTTTCTAGTTTATATATGTTAACATTAGTTAATGCAACACTGTTACATGAACAATGCTTTTACAGCATTTATTAATCGTATCTATTGTTAAATAGTTCACCAAAAATAAAAATGTGCTGAACATTTTACTCAACCTTAGGCCATCCAAGATGTAGAAGAGTTTGTTTGCCAAAACCTGGATATTTTAGGCAATATAGAAATCCTGGCAAGGTCCCGTAAAAATGGCCCGTATGGTCACCCTATGAAAAGGTCTCTTTTGGTTTGAGCGATTCCAGTGCAATTGAGTGGCTAAAGAATGGCAAGTCAATGTTGTTAGTATTCTCCTAGTTGCATTACAGGGCTGCCTACACAAAACCTGCATGGGCCCAAAGGTACAAAAGTTGCTTTGGGCCGAATGCGCTGGCCCACACTGGGCCATCATGGGATTAATGTGGGCAGTCCGCTAGTGTGCTTACAGAGAGCCTGCGGTGAGTCCAAAGCTGTAGGCCTTGTCTGGGCAAGCCCGCACTGGGCCTGTTTAGGTTTGGTGTGGGCTGGCCCTAGCCCACTGTGCCCGCAAAAAGCCAGCATGGGCCCCGCAAGGACATGTTTGCAGGGATTTTTACAAGGGCTACAAATTTGCATATTACAAGTTTTGAAAGAAAATAACCATTCAATTGAAACATTAGGAAAAGCCCATTGTCCCTTCCCTGGTTTTAGAACTCTAGTGAATGCGTATATATTCCCACAAATATGTAATGTGTATATATAAATGTTCGATTGGGTGAATTTGGAGGCCAAAAGATGTAATGCGCTGTTGGCGATGGAGTGCAGTTAGCTTGGTCGGCTACACAGGCCCATACGCATAAGGCTGTGATGAACTGTGTGACACATTGCCCTGGTCACCACTGTTGTAGCTGGTGGTGATTTGTCACACTGTGGCCCTGCAGTTGCTGTGAAAAATGTGCAATAGTCTCTGCTCCCCTCTGGGATCATTGAGCTGGGTACAACACACG